GTAATCAACACGGTAGACATGACCTAACAATGGTTGACGGTCCACAGATCCTGACCCTGGCAGATGCCCCTACTCTCACTTGGTAAGGAGAACAAACGAGCGGTGGTATAATTTGTCCCCAGGGCAAGAGGGAACTTTGTTGTCTGGGTTTAGAATTCAGGCTCATTCTACTGTCCTAAATTTGATATAGCCAAGGCTATGTGTGGTAGTAGGGGCCAGTGAGGCCCTAAGTGCCTGATGCATGAAGACAAAGGGTCGTATGTTCCTCTCCCACTGCTGACAGAGGAAATAGAAAGAAAAAAATGTAAAGGACTGATGTCATCATCCTCTTAGATGGTCAAGCCCTTTCTTTCCTTCAGGTCCCACATGTATACAATGGAAATGTAGATTCAACTGTGAACCTACTGTGTCACAGAGTATGGAGCTGACCAAGTTGGGCAAACTAAGTTCTTTCTCTCCAGATCATGCTGGTTGGGGTGGAGAGGCCTAGAGGTCAGAGCAGGCGCTGCCATGTTTGAGAAAAGCCTCACAAAAGGCACTGGTGAAAGGGTGCTGGTCAAGTTCAGGCTGGGCAGAGTGGGGAGCAGAGGCAAAGGGAAGCTCCCAAGCATCTCTGCAGCAAGAGAAGAGTTTCAGCAACAATGTAGCTTTGACAGGCACATGGGGAGGGAGCGGAAACGGGTGCTTTGGAAGGGCGGTCATCTCAGGCTCTGCAAAGCCTGGACATGAGAAGAGCACCATGCAGGCTGTTCAGGGTCATCTGTGGTTTTTAGGGTAAGGTGTAATAAAATCAGATTTGCACTTTAGAAGTCCTAGCAGAGAAGGGCCGGAGGGGAAGGGCAGGACAGAGGGAACCTGTTTGGAGCAGAAGTTATCTGGCCAAAAGTACACAGGCTAATGAAGAGGAATACAAGCAGGGTGTGGTGGTGCGTTTCTGAAATATCAGCACATGGGAGGCTGAGGCTGCAAGATTTCAAGTTCAAAGCCAGCCTGTTCTACAGAGTGAGACCTCGTTATCGGTTAAGAGCATGTACAGTGCTTATAGAGGTCTTGAGTGAGGGTGACTCCAGCATGCCTATCAGGAAGCTCACAAGTGCTCTAACTGCAGCTCAAGGGGATCCAATCCCTCTGGCCTCCTCTGACACCCGCCCCCTCACCTAAACATAAAAATAAATAAGAATCCAAAGTCAGGCTTTGCTTGGTCTTCGGTACCATGGCTTTTCATATTTTCAGGCCCTCCTCACCCCTCCTTTGATCTCAGGGAAGCTTGTGCTTAACACTGCTCCACCTGCCTGGTTTGTCTTCCCCCCACTATGCCTTAAGTCAGTTTATCTTCAGTATTAGACAAAACTCACTTTCTTTTCTTCTTGTACCACTGTCCTAATTTTCCACTAGACAGTATCTTACTGAGGGGGCAGAGGTCATATTTTATACTCCAGAACTTAGGAATCTCTGGGATATGAGATGCCTACTGAGCAGATGTTTCCCCTCGTTAGAGATGCAGTACAGGCTGACCTGACGACTGCAAAGTTTTACAAACATACAGATTCACTGTGATGGCACTGTACACTGCAACTTAGTACAACAATGTCCCAATACTGTGTGGATATATGCCAAAGTTGAAAGGTTTCACAAAATACCACCCCTCCCTTTTTTTTCTTTTGAGACAGAGTTTCTCTGCATAGCCCTTGCTGTCCCGGAGCTCACTATGTAGACCAGGCTGGCCTTGAACTCACAGAGATCCACCTGCCTCTGTCTCACAAACGCTGGGATTAAAGGCGTGCACCACCACCACCACCACCACCACCACCACGCTACAAAATACATTTTCTGAAACACGTGTTCTGACAGTTTCTATTATATTCCTTTCAAAATGACCCTGATTGCTAAATTCCTTTCATGAACTGAAATGAACACATTCATTGTTTTGGTCTTATCTTGTGTCTCTTAATGGTTTAAATATTATCAACACCCTCATTCTTTCCTAAAGACTGTTTTCAAACCATTAATAATTTACCATGGCTACTTTCCAGCTACTCTCATCTCTTCCAAACTAAGACTCTAAGAAGGCATGGCGATTGCCAACAATCGGTGGACAGCTTCCCAGCACTAGCTCAGTGCTTGCCCTCCCTCCATCAAACAGAAGAAGGCAGTCACCCTCCCTTAGCAGTCTTTCTCTGGATCCCCTCAAGGAAACAGTTGCTTCTTGTAGAGTATTTACAATTAAATTCTAGATTCTGGGTAGCAGGGCACCCCTACAATCCCAGCACTCAGGAGGCAGAGGCATGTGAATCTCTGTGAGTTTAAGGCCAAACTGGTCAACGTAGAGAGCCACAGGCCAGGCAGAGTTGCATAGTAAAACCTAAAAAAAAAATAAAATAAATAAAAAAATAAAAAAAGAATAAAAAAAATAAAAGCAAAGCAAACAAAAGAGAAAGAAAAGGATTAAGACTCTGGATTATTGTTTTCAATCTATTTGTCTCTCTGGACTAATGTGGGTTGGAGTTTTTATTTTTTTTAATCCTACCAGGAATGGATCAGATTTTTTCCCCCCACCCAGGGTTCTAGGAATTGAGTCTATGGTTCACAAATGACAAGAAAATGTTATACCACTGACCCATGTCCCCAGCCCCCTTTTTACTCTATTTTGAAAACTGATCGCATTTCATTTATTTATTTATTTATTTATTTATTTATTTATGTGTGTGTGTGCATGCCTGAGTGAGTGAAGATCAAAGGACAACTTGCAGGAGTCAGTTCTTGACTCCCACATGTGGGTCCCAGAGATTGACAAACTCAGGGGATCATATGGGCAGTGCATCTTTACCCACTGAGCCATCTGAATGACTCTTTTAGAGTTTATTTATTTATTTAAAATTTTTTTTAAACTTTATTTAATATGCATTGGTGTAAGGATACCAGGTCCCTTAGAACTGGAGTTACAGACAGGTGTGAGCTGCCATGTGGGAGCTTGGAGTAGAACCCGGGTCCTCTGGAAGAGCAGCCACTGCTCTTAATCACTGAGCCATCTCTCCAGCCCCTAGAGTTTACTTTGACACAGGATCTAACATAGTTGTCCAGTCAGGCCTTGAATTTAGAATGTATATACATTCTATTGTACATTGACTTTAGACTCAGCCTCCTGAGAAAATGGGATTATAGGCTTGTACTAGGCCCAGTTCAGATTGACTCAATTCCTGATGAAGGCATCTAGCTCTAATAATCACTTCTTGATTTGTTTTTGTTCACTCTGTAGCCCAGAATGACTCAGAACTCATTCTGTAGCCCATGCTGGCTTCAAATTCCCAGCACCCTTCCTGCTTCAGCCTGAATGCTGATATTTCACTATGTAGCTCTGGCTGGCCTGGAGATGTCTATAGACCAGGCTGTCCTTGAATTCACAGGGATGCACTAAGCCCAGCGAGGAACTACTTACACAAATTAAAAACAAAAACAAAAAACAAAAAACCCGCGTGTGTTTATTTAATGGGTTTGGGATCGTGGAGGTCAAAGGATAATTTGCCAGAGTTGCTCTCTTACTATATATATATAATATATATATATATATATATGTTCTCAAGTCG